CTAGCAGTAAATAGGTAACAGGGGAGTTACAGCCGTTACGGGCTGTTTCTTGGAGGGGGTGAGAAAAAACAGCAGTTAGTAAGAATTGATTGATAGACAGTTGAGAGGCAGGCCAAAAGAGCAGAGCTCAACCCCCCCCCCCCCCCCCCCCCCCCCCCGCAAGCACAACTAGGTTAATACACACACACACACGCACACAAATTGGTGAAAGGTAGCTGTCTGGGTCCCTAGATTTCTTCAATTGAAAGAGATGAAAGTAAAAAAATAATTAATATCCCTGAAAATTTTCACAAGCACTTCAAATTCCGCATTTCTGAATGGTATAACACTTCCTGTTTTACTGCTGTCAATGCATTATATGAGGACCTGGTCACTGAAGTAACTGCTTTTTACGACAATATTGTAAAATCCACAAGACCCAAAACAGTGAGGAAGGGACAGAGATGGTTCACTGACTCACGCCTTAAGCCCCTGCATGAGAGTTCCATTCCTAGCTGAGTAGTATAAAACACGTAAAACAGCTGACACCCTCAACATATTTCTTAAGGCCAGCCGAGAGTTTAGAGAGCTAAAGGAACAGGTGTATAACCAGCACTGGGAACAGTTTTTGCAAGGCATCAATCATGCAACATCCTCATCTCAAATGTGGAATAAAATTAAAAAGATTTCTCATGCTAGCAGTCGTCAACTTGATCACCATTCACCTGAAGACTATGCCGACATGCTGCTTCAACAATATGCAAGCACTGCCAGTATAAGCAGCCTGCCCCTAGATGTACAACGCCATCTCGCTAGTACCAAAATATATCGTAACTTCAAAATTGAAATTGCCTGTAGTGAAATAGGGCCTGATGATAACTGGCATAACCCCCCTTTGAAATTAAAAATGCACTCAAGAAAGGTGAGACTACCTCTCCTGGAGAGGATGGCATCACATACAACACCATGAGAGTACTTGCTGAGCTCCCAAATATCCCTTTGCTAGAATTGTTTAATCAAAGTCTAAGGCAGGGTGTCTTACCCGACTGCTGGACACAGGGACTCATAATACCCATACCCAAGCCCAATTCACAAAAATTCAAACTCATTTCTCTGACGTCGTGCATGTGTAAAGTTCTTGAGAGAATTATCCTCGACAGACTAATGTTTCAAATCAAGCCCCACCTTGCTTCTAACCTGTATGGTTTCCTTCCTGGAAGAAGCACTCAAATTTGCTTTGCTGAATATTTTATCAGAGAGGGACCAAGCTCTCAAGCGGCATTTATTGATCTCCAAACTGCTTTTGATACAGCAAACAGAGAAATAATCTTTGAACAACTAGCCTCTTTTGGAGTTAAGGGAAGACTGTTGACATGGCTCAGGGGTTACCTGACTAACAGAACCGCCTCAGTCCTTTTCAAGGGGGTCAAAAGTAAGCTTTGTGCACCCTTTGTGTTAGGTACACCCCAGGGTGGAGTGCTAAGTCCTACACTGTTCAATGTTCTGATGCACAAATTAACAATTGATATTCCCACACTACCTGACGAAGCCATCATCTTTTATGCCGATGACATATGCATTGTTGCAAATACCCAAACTAGACTGCAAGCTCTACTGGATTCACTCGTTGCTAAAAGCATTGAATGTCGTCTTGTTATCTCAATAACTAAATCCAGAGTTCTTCATCCCCAAGAGAAAACTCATGTCTCTATAACTTTCAAGGTCAACAACCAGAACATTGAAACGTGTAGGCAGCACAAATACCTTGGAGTTGGTATTAACAGTGACATTGTAAACGATCTACACCGTAAGTTAAAAGAAAGGCTAAAACCATTTTTTTTATTATTATTATTATTTTCTACCACAGACGTGGCCACACATTTACAATGCTATAACCATTGAAAACACTTACTGGTAAAAATATTGATATCAATATTAAATATGCTAGACTATTCTATATGATGTTTGTTAGATCTCTCGTTGATTATAATGCTTTGCACTTCATTAATTTCCCCTCCTTTGTGCTGGACAAACTTGAAGTAGCACAAAATGAAGCCATGAGGATAATTCTTGGTGCCCCAAGATGCACAAGAATCATCAACATGAGGGAAGAACTGAAGTTTCCAACCATACTAGAGAGAATCATGCAAGTCAACACGACCTTTTGCCTTAAAGTCATGAGATACCCAACATCTACTGCATTGTTCAAAGACAAATTACTTAGTGTTGTTAACACCCTATTGACTGGTGCCAACATACCAACTCACTCCTTTTATGATAAATGGCTGAGAAAAAATGCCTACAATCTCATTAAACTCAACATTCCTTTTAAGTGCAATCTACTTGTCTCTAATATTCCTCTTTATCTGTACCCCACCATTCAAGTATCATACACACCTGTCACCAAGAAAGATAATGAGAATCTTGCTCTTCTCAAAACTGTCACACTCGAAACAATTGCCTCCTCCATCAAGAATTTAAGATCTCACGAAAACTGTGTCTACACCGACGGCTCAGTCCAATCTTCTACTGGACGGACTGCAGCAGCATGTAGGTTTTATAGAAATAATATTTGTATAAAGACTGTCAGTGTCAGGTTAAACAACTGGCTGACCTCTACACAAGCAGAACTAGCAGCATTACAACTAGCTACCAGTACATTAAAAAACATTGGAGGAGGAATAATATTTTGTGATTCAAAGTCTGCTCTTTAAGCATTCAAAAATTTCTCCTGGAAGATCGACAGCAAGAACCTCATACTACCAATTATAAATTACCCAATTGCTGCACAGAGTAAAGGGTCTCAAATCTCCTTTGTATGGATACCTTCACACATAAATATAACCCATCATAATGAGACAGACATTGCAGCCAAATTAGCATGCAACAAAGATGAAGTTGAATTGAATTGAGTTGAGTTGAGTTGAAAGATCTAGGTATCCCCATCTCTGCTGTCAAGACTGTATTGGTCCAAACACTCAGGTCTGATAGGAAAGAAATTACTGACTCCCAACAACTGGAAAGTACTAGTATAAAAAGCTATGATTTGTTCAGATCTGAAACCTATATCTATGGGCAGCACAAAACGTCCACCAGACTGTGCGACACTGGTTGCAAGGATCAGGTTGGGTTACCGTTACCTGTGGCACATGGCTACAGGTGACGGATCTCCCAATCCTGAGCACTCCAGGTGCAAACTCTGTGAGCAGGAACTGCGACAATGACCTCCCACACTACATCACCGAATGCCCAGTTATTAAACCTTTCAGACCAGTTGGCATGAGGTACCTGGAGCTTTGCAATTACTTTATTCACTCGTATTCTTGGAGATATCCTCACAGTGTACCCAAAATTTGCCAGTGCAGGCTACTAAACATATGGCCCTGTATGACTAACCATCCTGCAAGATGGGGACTTTTATTACCACTGCTACCTTATTCACTCTTGCGTTGATGATATCCTCAATATGCATCTGGAGTCTGCCAGTGCAGACTGCCTATCACATGCCTCTGTATGACTAACCATCCTGTGTGATGGGGATTTTTTAGCATCACCTAGTTAGCTTTTTGACACACTGTACTCCACTTCATATAGTCTAGGGTAGCTGCACAAATGCAGATGTACCTCATGTACTGTATTAATAAAAAAAAGGTAGAGGTTGGAGATCAGAGGCTTGGGCCTAGTACCGGTTAACTTATGAAGGTGAGTAGCCTTTGGCTTCAAATTGGCTCATTTATTTTACACCTCTGTGTATCACAGATTTTCAACAATATCCCCCAAAAAACTTATTTTGCCTTCAGAGATGAATCTGTCAACAGCTGTTCATAGGGTCTCCCCTTTTGCCTGTACAGTATATGGGTATGCACACCCCCCACCTTTTTTAATATACAAAGATTTTAATTCAAATTATCATTGTCATTAATGTAACAACCATATATTTAAAATTTAGTAATGTCTTGCTACAAATATAAATACAGTACACATTTTGCATTGTACAGTCATTATAAACATAATGATATAAACCAGTGATATAAAATAAAAGTACCGATTACAAAATATTTTAAAAGTAGTAGTTAAACATATAATGTTAACACACACACAAATCACAATAACGTGATGCATCAAATGAACAAATCCACAAGGGCTGAGCGTCTGGAATCCTCTCGGACGTAGGTTCAAACCCTTGTCACGGCCCTTGTGGATTTGTTCATAAAATGAACCCGTTTCCCTCCTTTACATGTGAATTGTCTGGGCTCACCACACCCAAAACAGGAAGACCAATCATCTGTTTCATTTGCTGAAACTGGACTAATGAATGCCCAATAATCCACCACTACAGTATATATATGTCCTATAAATCTCATGCAAGCACCTCGCACACATACACCCACAGCCCATGCTCACAAAGAACCTACATGTGCACACCATATTGCAAGATGGACTATGCATAATAAAGAGGACTGGGATACCTTAATTGGTCAGCTGTTACGTATTTGTTTGTTCCGTGTATGCTGTAAAAAAAAAAATGACAAAGTAGCAGTTTAGTGAAATTCATTCATGTAATTCCAGTCGTGAGGGTACAGTACTGCAATAATCCTCAGACGTAGGAAGTTTTGGATTTTCAGTTGCATGTGATGCATCATATTGTTTGCTGTAAGAAAATTGGAAACAACCTGGAAAATGATTTCTGAAGAAGATTCCCCATAATTCGTTTAATAGCAGTCCCTGTGGCGAAGTGGTAAAACACTCGCTTGGCATTTCGCGAGCGCTTTGGCCTGGGTTTGTATCCTGGCCAGGGAGGATTTACTGGGCGCCAATCCTTAACTGTAGCGTCTGTTCACCCAGCAATGAATGGATACCTGGTTAAACGATTTGGCAGGTCGTATTCCGAGGAAAATTAGGATTTAGGACTTGCCCGAAACACTTGGCGTGCTAGTGGCATACAAGAATGTAAGACCTCATTATATATTATAAATTTGTTTAGTTATCATAGTGTGGTGTCTTGTATCTTTGTGTTCAAGGTGGTGTATCGTCTGCAAGCAGCTTGCAGCAGCATTTGGATTATATATCCTCCCTGCCATTTGCTAGCACAACCACAACTTGCAGCATCTCATCCAGCATGGCAGCTTCTACAACTATGTCCAGTAGCTGTGTGACATCTTCAGCTGTATCCAATCCACTCATATTTTCTCCCCAGGTAAGCTAGACAGTGACAGTGTAGGTGTCATACCATCTTTGATATAATTAAGAATGTATTGCAAGGGGAAATGTCATCAAATACTTATATTATTTTTCACTTGTAAGCCATAACCAAATGTGATACGTATCAGTTTTGAAGTTGAGAGTAACAAAACCAACAAGTCTTGATATAGTGTTCATACTATAAACTGTCATACTATTACTGTCTGCCTAAGAAATTTAGGATACAATTTTATGCTGCTAAGGATGACCCTGTGAATTTACATGTACCTGCTCACATGGCTTAAAATTTATTTTAATTGGAATAAACAAGGCTTCTCTTCTATTCATAAATTATCATTCATTCTGTTAGAGAAGTTTTTTCTTCTGTATTCCTTGTACTGTAGCAGTAGGAATCCTGGTGTGCTGAGAGTAATCATAAAAGCTACTAATTTGTTATTTATGAAGTTTGTAATAAAATTCTATGCATTCCATTAGGTAAGAAAACTGACTACATCTGGAGCCCGCACAGCATCGCTGCAGCAGATGCACCGTACTGGACCAATTCAGAAAATACGCAAGAACAAGAACCCTTTGGTCAACAGGCCTTTTGCTAGAGGTGTTGTTCTGAAAACACTAATCAAGAAACCCAAGAAGCCCAACTCTGCTAACCGCAAGTAAGTGACAGTTAACTTATTAAGTCTGTTTGGCATCGAATATAACTTTTTTTTTTATCCCATTAAGTTATCATTTCTGTGATAAGTGTTAATTCCTAAAATATTAATACTTTAGGTTGTTGTTGTGGGAGGGTTGAGAAAGTGGTTTTCACAGCAAGTTGGCAAAATCCCAGATCATTGTAAAGAATCATGTGGATAGAGTTAAGAATTTGAGCAGCAGTAGTAAAAACTTGAGGAACATAGTTACAGCCTTGGAAGGTCAAATATGGGAATTATACAAAAATAAGAATCACTGGAAAACTGAAGGAAAGTAAAGTTTTAAAGATAGCTCTTAAAGTTAAATAAAATCTAGGTGTTTGTGAATACAATAAGTTAGGCAAGGAAAATATTGTAAACAGATAAACAGGGAAAAGAGCTTTTGTCAGAAAATATGGAGGTGATTACACAGGATATAGGAAAGTGCAATAAGGATATGCAGCTAACCCTTGCACCAGTAGCCAGAGAGAAAATAATATTAGAAGCAGTTAAGGAAGTGACTGAGCAGCAACAGGAATCTGAAAGAACCTTGAGCTACATCTTTTGGGAAAGAACCAACACAAAGTGTACTGGAGATAAACCAACACAATCCAACAAAATATGAACTGGGAATCAGCCAATATTATGCATGGGGTGTATGCAAATATTGTATGGGCTGTCAGGAAGAGGTAATGGAACATGAAATTATAAACACTATAACCTGCAGAAATATCCTATTGCAAAATTTTCCACCCAAAACTTGTTAAAAATTCACTAAACAAGAAGGAATGTTGTAACAGAGATTGCCCGGCACTTCATATTAAAGGAACCAGGCAAATAAAATCAAAAGAATGCAATTATGAATACAGCAACACCCATACATACCAGGGGTATTTTTTAGTAAGAGAAAGAGGAAAAGAATGACAAAAAATGTCCAAACTCTACTATCAACTCGGTCAAATGCTAGACAGGACCCAGACTATGTGGCACCCATACCAGAACCACAGATAGAGTCTTAACACCAAGTAAAATACCCAGCACTTCCACAAATATAGCATCTTTCATATTTGCCAGCATACAAGGCATCAAAATACGCAAAACAAAGTCTGCTTTCTAACTTGTCTCCTGAATGAGGCAAATGCAATGTTCACAGCTTTGACTGAAACTTGCACAAAGGACTATTATGACAATGAGATATAGATACCAGAATTAATTTTTTTCAAATGTGATAGAATACATAGGTTACAGGGTGGAGTCAGCCTGTACATCAAAGACACTCGTCTGCATAGAGCTACTAAACACCACAAATGATATGGTGGCAGTGTTGATACTCAAAATAGAAATTCTAATTGTGGTGATTGTTCTGGTATATTGTATAAATCACCAGATGCAAATCCTCAGCAGTTGAAAGACCAACTTACAAAAATAGAATACTGCTTAGAAAACTTCTCAAACCCTGCCCCAAGAATCATCTTGCTTGGTAATTTCAATTTACTACAATACACCTAAAATGGAAAAATATGGCAAATACTGTATAGTTAAACCAGAAAAATCCCAGGAAGGAGTTTAAGCGAAGTTACTCACAGATGACTTCTTGCAGATGTACTACAGATTTGCATTAAACCAACAAATAGTAAAACCCGCTAGGAAAGAAAACACCTTAGATCATATTTTTATAAACAAAGATGAACTTATTAAGGACATAATGATTACAAATACATGCTACTTGGGTCACACTCTAATTGAGGTTCAGACATGCATAGGCAGTAGACCTTTGCAGCCAGTCTCAAATCCAAGAGGAGGAGAGTTCAGGAAATTAAATTTCAATAACAAGCAGATTAACTGTGAACAAATAAACCAAACTCTCACAGAAATATGTTGGGAAAGAGAGCTAGATAATGCAAACTTAAACAGTGCCTTGAGAAAATAGGCACAGTAGCACCATAAATATGTGCAAGTCATATATCACTAAGAAGAAGGGAAGGGAATTATCAGGCAAATGTGCCAAGCCTTAAGACTATATAGTACTTGGAAGGGATCAGGATAAGGATTTGCGACTGGACGAGAAAAAGAAAGGGTGCCCAACTACTTGGACAGTCGGGGATTGAATGCCGACCTGCATGAAGCGAGACTGGAACTCTACTGTCAAGCCCAAGTGGTTGGGCACCATGCCTTTCACAATTGGATAAAGAGAAAAAGTTGCAAACTGGAACGAGAATGGCTTTCCCTCTAAAGGCGATAAAAACAAATGGCAGAACATTTTAAAAACTCAACTCTATCCCAAGAACAAGAAGGCTATGTAGAGAAATAGAAATGATTGAGAAAAGTTGCAAGAATCATATAAAATCCACGAGAGGTAAAGAGAGCAAAAGGCCATAAGCAAAATTGAGAGGAATCCAAAATACTGTACATTTTCTCCAATGCAATATCTGGAACAAAAACTACATCTTACATTGGGCCCTTTGCGCAAGGGCAATGGAACCTTCACAGATGATGACAAAGAAATGAGTAAAATACTGAGGTTACAGTATAATTCTGTTTTCAGTGAACCCCTGAACACATTGCAGATCAATGATCCAAGCTAATTCTTTATGAATGTGACACCATTGAACCATATCAGATGTGGTTCGTTGAGTGGTTCCTAACCTCACTCAACTTTGAAGTAGCTAAAGATACTGGTGTTATTCCTGACATATTTAAAAATGTGGAGATTGCATCATTTCACAAAGGAGGTAGTAAAACTGATGTAAAAAAGTTATAGAACAATAGCTGTAACATTGCGCATTGTAAAAAAAACTTTGAAAGTAAAAATCTAAGAAGTAAGATCACAAAACACATGGAATCACAAAGGCTACTTAACCCTGGGGCAACATGGGTTCAGAACAGGGCACTCCTGCCTCTCACAATTGCTAAACTACTATATGACATGACCTTAAATGTCATGGAAGACTAACAATCCAAGAATACACAGATTTTGCAAAAGCTTTTAACAAATGTGACCATGATGTTATTGCATACAAAATGCACACAAAAGGAATTACTGGCAAAGTAGGAAGATGGGTCTTTGACTCCTTAACAGACAGAACCCAGAGTGTAATAGTCAACAAAGTAAAATGTGAATCATCCACCATTAAAAGCTCAATTTCCCAAGGTACCGTACTTGCTCTGGTACTTTTCCTCATCCAGATATCAAACATAGACAAGGATAAAAATCATAGTACTTACTATATCATCATTTGTAGATGACACTAGAAATTTCATGAGAGTAGACAGTATAGAGGACACCTCCAAATCCAAACCTCCAATCTGATGTTAATGGGCCAATCTTTCAATGCCAATATTTTGCACAGAAAATAACATAATGTTTAATGAGGATAAGTTCCAATTACTGCACTATGGAAAAATAAAAACATCAAAGAAGTAACCACCATAAAATAGTCAAACCACACTATTGAACCTTACCTTGAGGTTACCTTGAGGTGCTTCCGGGGCTTAGCGTCCCTGTGGCCCGGTCGTTGATCAGTCCTCCTGGTTGCTGGACTGATCAACCAGGCTGTTGGACGCAGCTGCTCGCAGCCTGACGTATGAGTCACAGCCTAGTTGATCAGGTATCCTTTGGAGGTGCTTATAGATTGATTGATGAAGATTAAGCCACCCAAAAGGAGGCACGGGCATGAATAGCCCATAAGTGGTGGCCCTTTTGAGCCATTACCGGTATCAAGAGCTGATACTGGAGATCTGTGGAGGTGCAAATGCACCCTGCATGACGGGAGATGTCTCCTTCGTGAATGTGTTAAGATGAGGATGAAGCCACCCAAAAGGTGGCACGAGCATGAATAGCTCGTAAGTGGTGGCCCTTTTGAGCTATCACCAGTATCAATAGATGATACTGGAGATCTGTGGAGGTGCGACTGCACCCTGCGTGACGGAAGATGTTTTCCGTGATTTAAACAGATTGAATTGATTGATGAAGATTAAGCTACCCAAGAGGTGGCACGGGCATGAATAACCTGTAAGTGGTGGCCCTTTCGAGCCATTACCAGTATCAAGAGCTGATACTGGAGATCTGTGGAGGCGCGACTGCACCCTGCGTGACGGGAGATGTCTCCCGGACCAAGTGGTGACCAGATGGTGTCCAGGTGCTTATCCATTTTTGAAAGAAAAAGCAATGTAAGAGATTTAGGAGTGATCATGTTGGAAGACCTTACTCTTAAGGAACACAGTGAACAGTTGCTGTCACAAGTGCAAGAAAAATGACAGGTTGGATAACAAGAACATTCCAAACAAGAGATGTCATGCCAATGATACTTTTTAAGACATTAGTGCTTTCTAGAGTGGAATATTGTTGCACACAAACAGCCACATTCAAAGCTGGAGAAATTGCTTACCTGGAGAGCATGCAAAGATACTTTTACTGCTAGAATCCACTAAATAAAACACCTAAATTATTAATACCACTTACAAATTTTAAATCTGTATTCCCTTGAGTGCAGGCGGGAGAGAGATGTACAGTACTGTATAATAACTTACACTTGAAAAATATTAGAAGAACTGGTTCCAAATCTGCACACAGAAATAACTCCATATGAGAATAGAAGCCATGGCAGGATGTGCAAAATAGCCCCACTGAAAAGCAGGTGCAATAGACACGCTGAGACTTCAATGAACATGAAAGGCCCAGGACTTTTCAACACTTTCTCTACATATATGGGGCATAACTGGCTGACCTCTCACAGTGTTCAAAAGAGAACTCTACACGCACCTTCAAAGAATACCTGATCAACATGGCTGTGACTCATATCCCAGACTGCTTGCAGTCACATCGAACAGCCTGGTTGATCAGACCAGCACTGAGGAGACCTGATCAGAGACCGGGACACTGGAACATTTATCCACAAAATCATCAACTGGTAGGTATATTTTATCTATAGCATTTTTTCTAGTGATTTTTGTTAATGATATGCTCATGGATTCCCAGTTCTGCCAAAGTACAGTACCAGAGGATTTTCTTAAAACATTGTATTATAGAGAGCCGAATTTAATTTTGACAATACAGTACAATAGGTCTCGGAATGGTTTCCAGTTAATTTTTGTTTAGGGCTACCATTTAAAATTTATTAAAAACTATCTTGAAAACAAAAGGTCCAACAAATTTTCAAGTAAATTCTCAGAGCAGTAGAGATGGATAGGTAATCTAAAAGTACGGGTGTTAGGAGAAAATATGAAATGATAACATTATTGAAAGAAATTGAATGCACAAATTTTGATATGTAAGATAAAGGATTGGGTGCTTCAGTGTTGTCATGTGCAATAAATGGCTAGAACTATTAAGGTAATATTGTATAGGCCAATATAAATAGGTTTTAGGTCAAAGTGGAAGACAGAGGAGGGACTGAGGAAGTACAGTACACTATTGTGAATGAGTTCGTGTGATGTGCATTTGAAGATGCATATCACGCACTTAGAAATTTTACTGTACAGTACGGTAATGCAAAAAATAAGATGGAATAGTATATTAATGTGTAGCTCATTTGCTGTTAAATAGGTGCGTGTTGGTACGACTTACAACTGGCAGAGAGATGGTTGCATATGTGCCAGGACAAGGTCATAACCTGCAGGAGCACAACATTGTCTTGGTTAGACCTGGAAGGTTGCGAGATGTTCCTGGTGTCAAGCTCAAATGCATCCGGGGCAAGTATGACCTCATGCATGTTGTCAAGAAAAAACAGTAAGTTTGCCATCAGTGGTAACTATCTCCAACACAAAGAAGAGACAGTGTGTGAGTATGGGGGCAAGATGTGCTTCCAACACATTTTCAAGAAGAGATAGCAAAGGGTCCCTGTGTCAAATGTCATCTCAAGATGGTCATTAAAAATGGGCAGAGCCTTACATGTCCTTACCTATATCTCCTCTTCAGAGACAAGTCAAAAGTATATATACATCCTCATTAATTATACCCATAAAAACATAATAAAATTAAGACATCATTATGGTACCAAGACAACTAACAAGGCATTTTATGACTAATTTCTCACTAACATGTTTTTAACAAAGTTTGATGTACTAATCAGCAGGTTCTGTGATCGCTACAAGAAAGTGTAAAAATCATTGATGTTAAAATGTCCATAGAAACATACTCTTTGGTGACTAAATATGCTGATGATAGAAGCTCATTTGTTGTTAAAAAAAAAACATAAGCATTTCCTAATAGTAAAACTAGATATTTACTGCATGTGCTTGGGTCCTGTCATTCATAGTTCACTGTCAAAACCTTTCATCACCTTTCTCAGATATTAGTACAGTATAATATTAGAAAAATCAATCTATCTCTTAGTTCACTTAGCTATTTTTGAGACTTTAGACAAGCATTGTATTACCTGGTTATACAAAGACCAGCATTGTATAACCTGATTCATTCTTGACCTTTGGATCGAGTTAATTTATGAGCTTGTAGTTGTAGGAGATTTAGTAAGAATGTATGTTACAACACTTTTTGTACATTGTCATAGATAATTTATTACAACTCAGTAGAAGTAACTGAAGAGTTAACTGTTTATTAAAGTTAGTAAGAGCTAGCTTTCCTGTTCAGTCCTTATATAAAACTGCAGCTTAGTGTAATAAATGTAAAGACTGATGAGTGTTTGTATTTACTTCTTAACCCTCTACAAAGTGATGGATTTCTAATTGCTACATGAAATTATTTGTTATTTAACAGATGGTATTCCCAATAAAACTTATTGCTGTCCTTTCACATTTGCATTTTATGAAGTGTTATTCAATTTTTAGTTTTTTTTTATTATGTATATTTTTGAACTATGATTCTGCTTATACAAGAGATTAGAAAGTACCTTGCTTCTTTTCTCAGCCAAAATGTTCAAATTAGTGTAGCAAAGATGTTTGTAAGAGTGTAGTAAACAAGGCATTAACTTTCAATTTACAGTAAAAAATAAAGTAACTAGAATACGTAAATGATAATTTTCTACCCTTCAACCGTTATAAAGCTATTTCTGTATTTTATTGGCTGCATTTGAATTAGAATGATACTTATTTACAGATAAAACCTTTGTTATATAGAAAGTATATAAGAATGGAATTGTTGGTCTATGATGGAATAGCTCATACTGCAGTTTTCAGGAACACAGTAGAGTATTCTAAAACAAAATATACAGTATACAATACTATACAGATCATAATTATAATTGATAAAAAAAAAAAAAATCTAATGTGTGTCCCACTTTCATGTGTGCCACACATCTTAACCCAAAGACATTGGTAGGGACAGCACAGGGGGGTTACTGGACAAGCACAAGGTCCTTGATCATACCTGATTACCTCAACCTGTTAACCCTTTTGCTTCTAAAGGTCATCATAGTATCGTGATGGGAAGTAATTATCAATAGCAGACACCAAACCGGGAAGGCTATGATCCTGATGGGAAAAATTAGTGAGAATTGTTTCCAAATCATTCAATGTTTAAACAGGTTTTCTAACCTTGCCAACAAGCTCCTAAATCCAGTAAATATTGCCATCTGTTTGTGACAATCAAATGGCCTTCTTTACACACTTACCCCCTATTTTTAATGGCACAGCTAGAAAAAGCAGCATGGCTGCTATCATCACAAACTTCCAATGGGGTGATGAATAGACCTTATGTCCTCTTGTCATTTATTCAGAAAGCTTGTTCATTACAGAAAACAAACAGAGGAGGCGACTCTTTACATTAATCAAATGGTCGAGCTATTTACTGTAGCACTCGCACAGTATGCTCTGCTTCTGAGCGGTGTGCAATGTAGCATTTAGTAAAACAGGAGCCCACAGGAAACATTGGTGTATGGTAATACATAAGTGAGGTTACAATCACCAATACCAATGCAGAAATTATAGGAATTAGATAAATGTGAGCATGACTTTTGGCAATATAGTACAGTATAAAACAATTGGAATAAGTGCTGCAAAAAAAGTAAGATAAAGCAAGGTACAGATTGCAGAACTTTAACAATCAGAAGAGACCATTCCAAAGAAAACAGATGCTAAAGAGAGACTGGCGAGACTAAAGTACGTATGAAGGTATGAATGAAGACAAGATCAAAAATTATAAAGTGATAAGAGTGAGGAAGCCATTGAAGTGATACAGAATGACCACAGTTCAGTGCCACATGAGCTGCTGGGTCATCAACATCAGGCAAAGTAGTCACAAGGAGTGATGAGAACATATGATATACAGTATTGGGAAACGTGACTAAATCCAATATTAATAAATAGTGTTAAAATATATTATGGTGGAGAAAGAAGGTAGAATGTGATACTGTAAATAGATTACAAAAGGTTACAATAGATTACAGTACAGTATATGGAACTAAATGAGTACTTTAGAGATACTGAGTGGAAGAGAACATCCAACCTGTCCTCCTACAAAGAATGTCGCATTTCGCTCGTATACGTTACACAAGGCCAAACACTGACGTACAGTACAGTGGTACCTCGGAATGCGAGTGTCCCTGTATGCGAGTTTTTCGGAAGACGAGCAGGATTTCCTCGAAAAATATGTCTCGGAAGGCGAGGGTTACCTCGGGACGCGAGTTTGTTGATACGCGTACAGGCCGACCTAGCGCGTGGTGGTTCGGCGATCGTCGCCCCTCCACCCCTCCGCCCCTCAGTTTACCATTGTCTCGCGCCCAGTGACTACCCCACATCAATTCTTCTCGCGGATTTTCAGTGTTTTGTTGGATTTTTGGTGATTTGACTATACAATTTGTTATTATATATCTCACCATGGGTCCCAAGAAAGCCAGTGGTAAGGATAAAGGCCAGAAAGCCCATGTGAGGATGACAATAGAGGAGAAACAAGAGATCATTCGGAAGCATGAGAACGGTACACGTGTTGTTGAGCTTTGTAGGCAGTACAACAAAGCCACATCAACAATATGCACTATACTTAAGAAGAAAAATGAGATTATGAGTGCTAAAGTGGAAAAAGGAGTCAGAACAATAACGAAACAAAGACCACAAATACTTGAAGTGGAAAAGTTGTTATTAATTTGGATACACGACAAGAAGTTAAGGGGTGACAGTGTTTCGGAGGCCATTATTTGTGAGAAAGCCAGGGTTTGGACAGATTTGTGGTGAGGAAATCGAGCAGTGAGCCTCAACCAGGACCTAGTGGCACTCAGATAAAACGTCCCAGGGAGAGCACACCAGAAAGGTCTTCACTGCCTGATGTGATAATGGAAGGGGACTCCCCTTCCAAACAGTAACTCATCTCCTCCCCTGGAAACACAAACCGAAACTGTCTCTATTTTCCGCTTGTTACAACTTGTAATAAAGTTGTTACATCTTGGCTTAACGTGTTTATGACGGATTAGAACGTTGTTACAACTTGCTATATTGGTTGTTATAACTGGTTAGGAGGTGTTAAAACTTGTTCGAACGTTGTACCAACGTCGTAGTTTCGGTGTGTGTTTGGCGGGTCCTCCCCCCTCCTCACCATCTTCTATACGCCTACAGCATTCAACAGCAAGGTAAGTAATAACTGGAACATAGTTTTGTAGGTTTATTTAGATGAATTAGGTATAAAAATTTAGTTTGATGTAGGTTTTTGGGGTAGTCAGGAACGGATTAATTCATTTCCCTTTATTTCTTATGGGGAAATTAGCTTCGGAATGCGAGTTTTCGGAATACGAGGCGTCTCCAGGAACCAATTAAACTCTTAAACTGAGGTATGCCTGTACTACAAAATGGAAGCGAGTTGCGAAAGTGACGTACATTGTACTGTCCCGTTTTCCGTTTTTGGGTCCTCTGGTAGACCTGGAAGGCAATGTCCTAGGTTGAAAGAGGACTTTAAATTAACCGTTTTCTTGACATTGGGAAATCTTAGGAGGACGGACTGAAGCATCAGAGAATAGATGCCAATGTAAGGTATGTAATATTGATGCAACACTATGTGCAAGAGGAAGAAAAAGACAATAAAAATAATTTATTTAAATTGACAGAGGAAATGTAAAAACTTAGAAACATTATAAAAATGCCAGAAATAAGCATACAGTGGCACCTTGAAAATCAAAAGTATTCCCTTTTAAACCAGATTCAGATTTGTGAATAATCTAATTTAGCCAAACTTAGGCTATTGACCACCAAATTTTGTTTAATATTCTTAGTAAATGATAGAGAACGTATTTTTTTAATTATAAATAAACAATTTATAAGTGTATTTTGTATTATCAAGATAAATCAATCTTGTGGCTTTCAGTCTAGTACTGTACTTGTAAACTGCTTGATCAAATTTGTTAATATTTCAGCCGCCTGAGAATTTTTCTCTGCCTTTACCACCAGAACTGTTGTGTTTTTTTTGGGGGGGGGTAAAATAGGAACCTCAAGTGCTAACAGCCAAATCATTTGCCTGCATTTTCATTCTCCAGCATGATAAATTTTCCATATTAATATAACTTTTTCATCAATGTTATGATACCTCTACTTCCTGGTCTAGCCAGAAAGGAAAACATTTTCTACTCTATTAAATTGTCTTTTATATTAAATTATGAAACATGACTAAATTGAAGTACCACAGAAAAATTAACACTTTTCTGCATAAATTTAAGCTCTGTCCATGTTATGATGCCTTTCCTTCCCTGTGCCTGTTGCCACTCACAAATGATTTATATTCAAAATTAAAATGCTACAAAATCTTCCAGTAAACACTGGCAGTACAAGAAAAAATCACAAGGCATGGACGTGTCACAAACTGCATTGTCGTACCATTATATAATACTGTAGTGTAAGCTCTGTAAAACATTTATAAAAAAAATTGTTTTAAAATAAATTTTACTATAAAAATTCCCAAAATTAGCTAAATAATTAGTATGGAATTAATCAGATTCGTGACTGTTAACTCATTATCAACCCACCGTCCAAAAATGATACAACCTGTAGCTACTATGGATGGAATGTACAAAATATCAACTGTTTTACCCTAAGAAGTCTCCATTTTGCACTACTGGAATTCTAAAAGGCATTCTAAAAGAATTCTATAAAAATTCGTTTAGAATTCTAAAAGAATTCTAAAACCTCACTGCAGATCTGCTCATCCACATCCACCCCACCTGCCACCCTCAACCTCACTGCAGAGCTGCCCATCCACACCACCTGCCCACCCCTAACCTCACACCAGATCTGCCCACCCCCATCCACACCACCTGCCTACCCCCAACCACATCACTTGCCCACCCCGACCTCACACCAGATCTGCCCACCCCCATCCACACCACCTGCCTACCCCCAACCACATCACTTGCCCACCCCGACCTCACACCAGATCTGCCCACCCCCATCCACACCACCTGCCTACCCCCAACCACATCACTTGCCCACCCCGACCTCACACCAGATCTGCCCACCCCCATCCACACCACCTGCCTACCCCCAACCACATCACTTGCCCACCCCGACCTCACACCAGATCTGCCCACCCCTATCCACACCACCTGCCCACCAGGCAGGTGGTGTAAACAGCAGAGATAGCACCACTCCATAAAGGAGGAAATAAGGCAGAGGCAAAAAATTACAGACCGATAGCACTAACATCGCACATCATAAAAAATTTTGAAGAGTGCTAAGAAGTAAGATCACAAAATACATGGAATCACAGCATCTCCATAACCCCGGACAACATGGTTTCAGAACAGGGCGCTCTTGCCTGTCGCAGTTGCTGGACCACTATGATATGGCATTAGATGCTATGGAAGACAAACAAAACGCTGATGTAATTTACACAGATTTCGCAAAAGCCTTTCATAAATGTGGCCATGGTGTTATTGCACATAAAATGCGTTCAAAAGGAATTACCGGGAAAATAGGCAGATGGATCTACAATTTCCTGACTAACAGAACCCAAAGTGTAATAGTCAACAAAATAAAATCCAGCCCATCAACCGTGAAGAGCTCAGTCCCCCAGGGTACTGTGCTTGCTCCAGTAC